CCCTCCTTTACATGTGTTTGTGTTCTTTCATTAGATACTGGAGTATCTGAAAATGTGTCACTGAATGTTCCTTCAGATGTGGTTGAAGGATCTCCCAGGGCAACATACTCAGTTTTGGGTGAGTCTTTCAGCCCAAGGGAAGCAGCTTTCTAGCTCTATAATTCTAGTGCATGGGCCTCACCAACCATGATTAATGAGGTCTCTGACAAGAGGCACTGAATTGAGAGAAAGCACTAAGTTAGGGGTTATACTATGTTACGGTTGGAAAGGGGGTTGAATAGATATTGTTCTACATGTTATGCCTTGATTACTCTAAAAGGAAAGGGTCACCTCTCTGGGCCCTGATCTTCAAGCACTTTACTAGGTGGTAATGCTTCCTAGTCAACTTGAAAATGGTTGTGGTTGAGTTTTACCAGGCATGTGGAGCATGAGAAAAGACAGATCACCTACCATTCAGTCTCTTCCCTGCTTTCTCCATCCTTGAACCATCTACTTTATTTTCTCACCTTTTGTTTTCCTCCATATTTCTTGTTTTTTTCACTTTTTAGAGTCTTCTCGTCCTTCCCTATACAGGTCATTTGGCCTCTCAGTCAGCTAACAATCTGTTTCCCTAGCCCAATACCAACCATCTCTGATTTCTTTACAACTTTTACTCCATAGGTGATATACTAGGCTCTGTGGTACAAAACCTTCAGAACCTTCTCCAGATGCCCTATGGTTGTGGAGAGCAGAATATGGTCCTTTTTGTTCCCAACATTTATGTTCTGAACTATCTGAGTACAACACGACAGCTGACAGAGGAGATCAAGGCCAAAGCCATCAACTACCTCATCAGTGGTGAGAGATTACCTCAAAAGGAAGACCCTTAATCTCTTAAACATTTCATGGTGAACTAAAATCAACATCTCTTTCATTAAGATTTGATAATCATTGTTGTGAATTTCAATACAATGTCCCAATATACAAGTAGAAAATTCAATAGTATCATCAAGCCTGTGATTGGGGGTTGGGAGAAATTTTAATTAAATATTAGTTACTCTGTTATTCCTAACAGCACTGAGAAAAAAAGCTTAACAATCCTCCAATGTCTTTGCCATTTTGATAAATCTGTGAACGCTTCCTCTTCAGGGTACCAAAGGCAATTGAATTATAGGCACATAGATGGTTCCTACAGCACCTTTGGGGAACATGATGGTAGAAGTGAAGGAAACACTTGGTGAGTTTCTTCTTTCCCTATGCTCTCTCTAGATCCGTGACATTCCAGGATTCTAGAAATAGCTACTCTCTAATATCTGGGGTTTTTGTGGAAAATTGTTAGTCTTTAAATAACACATGTGCTGTATGTATCATTCCTGTTGGGTAATCTCACCATGACATCTCTGAAAGCTTACCTGCTGTGATAACACAGCTGCCAGTGGTGAAATAAGGATCTTCTCAATGGAAATACAAGGCAGAAATGTCATTCTATAAAATGACAGAGGAAGAGGCTTCCACACTCTGCATTAAAGAAGGAGAGAAGGGAGAGGACAGAAGGAGGCTGTGATGCAGGAAAATCAGAACAAGTCATTCTGGAAATGCAGTTTTGATGGTGGGGAGGCCTGGAGGCTCCAACAAATGTTTCATAACAAATAATTTAAAAAGAATCAACTCAGAGAAACCAATAAAGTTGAGAGGTAATAAAGATATTGAGATGTTTGTTGGACTAGAGTATGTTCAGCTCTTAGATACTATTTCCCCATCAATTCCTCCCAGTGATCTTCTCTGCTTAATTGTGAAGAACAATGTCTGGAGGCAGTAGACAAGGTCAGCTGTGGAAGTGAGGTGGTCCTCACGTCTGCGTCTCTGTTTTGCTGACAGGCTCACTGCATTTGTGCTCAAGTCCTTTGCTCAAGCCCGATCGTACATCTTTGTGGATGACTTAGACTTCAGGGATGCCTTCAAGTGGCTCTCAGAGAGACAAAAGGAAAATGGCTGTTTCCAACGCTCTGGATCACTGCTGAATAACGCTATTATGGTGATGCCTTTTCTATTTCTGTTCTGGTCCCTGAAGATAATGATATGTGGGAGGAAATGATGTCTGAATTGAGTCCTCCAGTCTTAGTGACATAGATTTCAGGAAGAATGGTGGACTCTAAATCTCCTGAAATCTAGCAGTACCTTAGCAGTTTTACATTAAATGAAAATGGTGTTCACAAAAACTCCAAAGCCAAACACATTATAAAAAGTGAGGGCCCGGCATGGTGGTTCAAGCCTGTAATCCCAGCACTTTGGGAGGCTGAGGCGGGCAGATCACGAGGTCAAGAGATCGAGACTATCCTGGCCAACATGGTGAAACCCGTCTCTACTAAAAATACAAAAATTAGCTGGGCATGGTGGCGTGCACCTGTAGTCTCAGCTACTCGGGAGGCTGAGGCAGGAGAATTGCTTGAACCCAGGAGGCGGAGGCTGCAGTGAGCCAGGATCGTGCCACTGCAGTCTAGCCTGGTGCCTGGCGACAGAGTGAGTCTCTGTTTCAAAAAAAAAAAAAAGTAAGAATTTTAGGGTAGAGGAGGAAGAGCAGAAAATCAACTCAAGAATTTTAGGGTAGGGGAGGAAGAGGAGAAAATCAACATTCTAGCACAAGACACAAAACCATCTAGTGAAGATGTCAAAGGGAAAGGAAGTTTTAGCAGGTGCTGCCTCATGACTGTTGAAGTGTTTGAGTCTCTCTGCCTCTGATGCCTACAGGGTGGGGTGGACGATGAGGTGACACTCTCTGCCTACATCACCATTGCTCTGCTGGAGATGAGACTGCCTGCCACGCTATGTTCACACCCTCCCCTGTACTACCTTCACACGTGTAAAGAACAAAATTGTGGTATGATGGATCCCTGAGGGAAATTAATTGTGATTTTTGTGGAATTTAATTTTGGCATATTTCACTGGAATGTAAAGGACCAGATCCTTTCGGAAGCAGCAGAGGAAACTCCTCTCTGGTCAGAACTGTGAGGTTACACAGGCACATTAGGGTTTTTGATCTACAGTTAGCCTGGGGAAGCTCATTCACCTGGTTCTGTTATTTTACAATAGCCTTTCATCTTCTCCATAGAGCCAAAGTGTCAGTAGGGCCCTATTCTGCCTTGAAACGGCCTGGAGATCCGCCTCAGAGGCCCAGGGAAGTCTCGTCTATACCAAAGCATTATTGGCCTACGCCTTTGCCCTAGCAGGAAACCAGGTCAAGCGAAGAGAGCTGCTTGAATCATTACACAGAGAGGCTGTGAAAGAAGGTGAGACCTGCTCCTGCCAAGTTTACTCCTAACAACCACCAGGGACCAGAAGGGAGGGTCCCTCTACTGAGCTCATGCCTGTCATGCTACCTTACTTTAGTGACAGTGAGAATCATTATCATTGACCTAAGACTGGATAACATGGATCATTTGAGTAATCCACACAGCATAGACTCTATACAGCCCCAGCTTCTAATCACACACATGTAACAGACACTCAGGCTCAATGTTATTCTCTGCAACTTTACTTTCTTGACAAAGATTTATTTGATGGTGACTAATGCTTTCATTTTGTTTAATGCTTTCCCTTCGTTAAAACGAAAGGTCAATTTATTAGGTGAGCTGTAATTATAATCATCACTCATGGATTAGATTTTGAAACCATTCTTTAAGCTCAAATTTCTACCCGTTTCCATGTCAAAGAGGATTCAATCCACTGGCAACATCCTGGGAAACTTCGAGAAGCTGAGACACTCCATTCTCAATTCCGGGCTCCCTCTGTGGAAGTGGAGACGGCATCTTATGTGCTCCTTGCCTATGTTACTGTCCAGCCTGCCCCGTCTCCAGCGGACCTGTCTGTGGCATCACGTATTGTGAAGTGGATTACCAAGCAGCAAAACCCCCATGGGGGCTTCTCCTCCACTCAGGTCTGTGGCGAGACTCTAGAAGGAAACAAAAATGTATTAACAAGTATGAAGACACAGCCATCTCCTAGGAGTTGAATAGTGGAATACTCCGTATTTCTAATTCACACCTTCTCCATCCCTCCACTGGCAGACAAGTTTCAGCCTTACTATCTTAGAAACGGGTTACTGCTCTGTCCTCTCTATATTCTCTCCTAACTCTCTAGTGGACCCCCAGCCACACAGGTAGGTTTGTCTTCACAAAGCAATGTCTTCAAGGGGTTACTTCCCTTAGAAAATAAATCTTCTTTTTCACCCAAAGCCTAAAATTATCTAGTGTTTTATCCAAAATATTTTCTCTCCCCAGTAAACACGAGTGCACCAACCTAATGAGGTAGATGCCTTTGGTTGTTCCAGAACTGGCTCACTGCAGTTTGCATGACTTCACATAGAGCGTTCCCCACCCTGATGCCTCTCTTCTGTCTACAGAAACCCTGCTCATTATTCAGAGATAATCCTATTTCTCACCTTCTTCAGTCTTCTCTTACTGTTCTAACCCGTGTTTTCTTCTCTCTTTTCTGAACTTTTATAACAAATATTGTTACATAAATTTATAAATTATTGAAATAGCCTGGGCTTGTGTCAAATATCTGAGTCTTATCTCCATATGTATATTGTAAACTAGCTGAATGGTGAAACTTTGTATAAATTTACCTTCAAAGTACCTAGAATAGTTTGTCATTACTAACCAGATTGAACTGAATTGAAATAGAGTTAGTCGACTGTGTTTATGACTAAATAATTCTGAAAAACAATAATGTTGTTGTGGTTTACATCCAGTGTGAGTTTGTTACTTTCCTCTCCTGTGATTTCTATACCCATTATTTTTTCAGGACACAGTGGTGGCTCTTCAAGCCCTCTCCGAATATGGAAGAGCAACTTTCACCAACAGTGAGAAAGCAGCTTTGGTTACTGTCAAATCTTCAGACACCTTCTCTAAAGACTTCCAAGTGGATGACACCAACTGCCTGCTGCTGCAGAAGGTCCAGCTGCCAAAGGTTCCAGGGCAGTACACCACAACCGTGTCAGGGTCAGGATGTGTGTACCTCCAGGTGAGACCCTGGGACTTAGGATATGCTGCAAATGGGAGAGAAAGTCTCAAGAGCTACATTTGAACTTCAGAACAAGAAAAAGAAATGTGTGTTAAGGGAAGGCATGAATCATCTGGAACAGATTATGAGACAATTTGAGTGCAAAAAATGAAGGATTTTTTTCATTTGTTTTAGACATCCCTGAGATATAACATCCTACCTAAGGAAAAAGAGAAAGAACCCTTCGCTCTGCAGGTTAATACTCTCCCCACGAATTGTGATGGAGTGGATGCTCGCAGAAAGTTCCAGATTCACATCAACATTAGGTAACTCCTAGATCATGACCAGACCTCTTGCACCAACCTAACAGAATATGGAGAAATTGATTTTCTTATGTGGGGAAACTCCACTATCCAAAGCCACACATAATGAATATGGAATTCTTGCAGTGTTTATTAACAAGAAAATTTTCTGGAAAAGTCTTCACGTTAAGAATATGATATTACAATATCTGACAAGTGTGAGCTTAAAGTGATGGTTTTTCCAAACAACCATAACAGAAACAGATACAGCAGACGTAGTAACTTAGTGTTAGAAATAAAAGGCAAAGGGAGAGTTTGCCTTGAATGAATCCCAAAAACTTTTGTTTGACTCCTTCATTCCTATGCTTTGATTTTATAGTTATACTGGGGACCGACCCAGCTCCAACATGGTCATTGTTGATGTGAAGATGGTATCAGGCTTCATTCCTATAAAACAATCAGTTAAACAGGTAATCCCTGGATCCCTTGCAAATAGTAAAGTCATGATAAATGCTGGCATTTATCGTTGTCAATTTGACTTTATTGATGGACTTTTCAAGAGGTGTTTTCCCTCAAAATTGCTTCTCTAGTAGGCATCTCTATCATTTTAATAGGGTGTCTTGGTTACATGGTGTCAAGTATAGGGCATAAGTCAGAAACACGATAAATAATGTTCCAACAGGCCCAAGACACCTAGTTATGTGGAATGGTATTGAATTATTTTCCAGATATATATAAGAAGAGGAAAGGATATATGTGTGTATACATGCATGTATATATCACATATGCATCTGCATATATACTTATAGCAAATATAGAAAATTAAAGATCGATAAGTATTACTATTGTTATTATCATTACTATTCTTGAAGAAATCAAAATTATCCGTCTGGATGCTCCGAGAAGCTGTGTAGATCGTAAATACCTGAAAACTGCTGCCGGTATGAAATTTTCTCATTCCATATTTCTGACTTATCGTCTTGATCAACAGCTCCAGACACAGCCCCAGATCCAGAGGACTGAAGTGAGCACCAACCACGTCCTCATCTACTTTGAAAAGGTAAGACGTTCCGTGACTCTGCTAGATCTGGAATAACAACTAGAGGTTCTAACAAACCATAACAGATCCAAATAGTGCCGTTCACATACACAGGTGAGAGAGGACAAAGTGGCTGTAAAAAGAAATGAAGCTTGGACTGTCAGCAGGCTTGATTTATTACATTTGGCTGTCCACAAAATTGTCTCTTTTGTCCTTTTTTAAATCTATCATTGAATATGTTATGCAGGTCACAGAATTCTGCTTTCTTTTCATAGGTTTTGGTGCAGATGTATAGCATAACTACAGGGTTTGATAATTTCTTATGAAGAGAGGACAGTAATTAGATACTAAGTTAATCTTTGATTCCAATGGTTTTCCTGTCTCTCCAGCTAACCAATCAAAACCGGCATTTTTCCTTCTTGGTGGAACAAGATATCCAAGTAAAGAATTTAAAACCAGCTGTAGTAAAAGCCTATGATTATTATGAGACAGGTGAGTGAGATTCAGACATGCTGAGCTTTGAAATGAAAAACAAACAAACAAACTACTAAACTAGTAAAGGATTACCTTAACTAATGCAAAACTTCACAATCTTTCACTGTAAAGAATTACCTAGTAGAGGATTACCTTAACTAACTAGTAAATTTAGTAAAGGATTACCTTAACTAACACAAAACTTCACAATCTTTCACTGTAAAGAATTACCTAGTAGAGGATTCCCTTAACTAACTAGTAAATCTAGTAAAGGATTACTTTAACTAACGCAAAACTTCACAATCTTTCACTGAGGAAAAAAGTGAGTTTGTGGGCACTGGATAATCATGTTCTTGTATATTAACATCTCACGTCCGCTGCAAACAAGTCTTAGAGTCATTCTTATACATTGACCATAAGGCAATGAGAGGTCCATTCTATCTAAATTTCCCTATAAAGTTGTTTGTCCTGCGCTGAATTATTCCAGAGGGACAAGAACAGTACAGTAACTGAACAAACGTCTCAGTGCTGATGTGTGACGTGACATCTAAAATTTAATCTGGTTTTGACTTGTGCTTCGATTCGGCTCACAGCATTTGGGGAACTTTGTAATATATCAGGAAATACTTTCATTTGCTCATGGCTTTGAGTTAGAAAATTACCAGCATTGTAGCACGATGGTAGTGCTAAAACTCTTCTTCTTTGATTAAGGAAAGGTTCAGAGAGGAAGGTGCAATTCCAATGAGAAGAACGCAGCTGTGAAAAGGCAGCATCTACACAGTCCTGTAACTACACTCAGGTGCACCACCTGGGTATCCGGCCTCTCAATTCTGTTCCCAAGCCAGATTTCCTTTAGTTTCCTCCCACCAAACCCAAACAGCTTAATAGAGAAGTCATTTTTATCGGCTCTATAGTGAGGCTTTCTACTTTCTTTCTTAGCTTACACAGTTTATTTACAATTCACATCTTAGGTGCTTATGCCTGACTGTTTTCACTGTTTCTGTCCAATAATTTCTGTGTTTCAGATGAATTCACCTTTGAAGAATACAATGCCCCTTGCAGTGCTGGTAAAGTATAAGTGGTTCAATCTAACTCCAATTGAAAGAAACTAAATAAGCATTTCAGTTAAACAGTAAAGTCTAATCCCGACTTCAAAATAAATAAGCATCTCAGTTCTCTGCATACGGCTGCTTCTTGTGATGAATGTATTCTTTCCAAATCCTAAAATCCCCTGATGTACCATATTTCAAATGTATTATAGAATTTCTCAGAAAAAAAAAAAAAAAACCCGCAAGTTAAATAGAATTACCGGTGTCTTGGGTGACTTGTTTGAAGATGAATCCAAGAATTTGCCACATATAAGAACTAAATTATCTAATATGTAGTTTCCATTCTATACCTGGTGGTGATATATTCATCACTGATAGCCTTTCTAGGATATTTCTAAGTGTACACTAGTTAAAGTCAAGAAATTTGTCACTGTAATTATGCATATAGCACAGCATGAAAGGTGTGATCTATAAGACCTTCCTTTAGGCTGATTGACAGTGTTCATCTTTGACACAGAATTTGCCATGAAATCTTTGCCTCTCTATTTTTAAATATGAAAAAAAATGGAGAACATCCCTATCATTAAAAGTTACTAAGTTCAAATATTTATAACTGAAATATAAAGAATTATTCTTAAATAGGTCACAGAATTTCCCTTATATTTCTCCCTTTTCTTTTACTATTTAGAATCTCAACAAGGAAATGCTTGAAAACAGGAACTTATGGACTTCATCAGATGAACTTCTTCAGAAATGAAGAACAGACTTACCGAGAGAGGACAGTAAGAGAAAGAAGGGAAGATCATTGGAAATATATAAAATTTGTATGTTGAATAAATTTACGGCATTTATAACTCTATCTTTTCTTTTGTTCTTTATCAATATTATATTCCCTTCTTGAATATGTATCTATTCTCCATAGCATTTATTAAATAGCAAAAAAGCTATACAAAGAGGTACACTCAAAAACACTACAGGTGAATTAAAGTGGAATTCAAAAAAATGTCAATTAACCCACAAAAAGGAAAAAGAAAATCGCTTTTCCAAACATCGGAAACAACAGTAGGTCCATGAATAGATGAACGATTTGGCAGTCTGTGGCTCATCCTTACAGCTGGTTCTGCTGGACAGCAAAGAGGAACAAACGACTGACAGACACAAGGACTTGAGTGCGTCTCAAAAGCGTTAGGCTGCATGGGAAAAAAAGCCAATCTCAAAAGGTCACAATCTGTATGATTTCTTTTATGGGTGTGACTGTAAGTGGGTAGCATTAAAGAGTTTTTGTGGTGATGAAATCCTGCCTGTGTGGAAGTGAAATCCTGCTTCCGATTTTTGGATTTAATTCCATCTCAAATTATTTTCTTGTTTATTGGGTGGTGAGTAAGTGGGTATTTAAATTGACTTGTTTTCCATGTAGCTTTCTAATGGTCCTATTAACACTGATTAACCAATTCAATCTTTTCCTGCTAATAAACCATGCCTCTGGGCCAGGTGTGGTGGCTCATGCCTGTAATCTCAGCACTTTGGGAGGCTGAGGCGGGGGGATCACGAGGTCAAGAGATGGAGACCATCCTGGTCAACATGGTAAAACCTCGTCTCTACTAAAAATACAAAAATTAGCTGGGTGTGGTGGTGTGTGCCTGTAGTCCCAGCTACTCGGGAGGCTGAGTCAGGAGAATTGCTTGAAGCAGAGAGGTAGAGGTTGCAGTGAGCCGAGATCACGCCACTGCACTGCAGCCTGGCGCCTGGCAACACAGTGAGACTCTGTCTCAGAAATAAATAAATAAATAAAAATAAACCATGCCTCCTTTATCACATAATAAATTATCATGCATACTAAGGCTAGTTTCTAAATGGTCTATTCTAGCCTATTCTTTCATAAGGATTAAAATATTTGAATTACGGTAGCTTAATAAAATGTTTTAATAACTGCTATGGCTGATGTATTTTCATTTCTCTGCTTTCACTTTTTCTTGTATTACTGATTTGTGTCCCTACCAAACCTCCTTTTGAATTGTAATCCCCAGAATTGGAGGTGGGGTCTGGTGGGAGGTGATTAGATCGCAGAGGTGAATCCTTCATTAATGGTTTAGCACCATCCCCTTGCTGTTGTACTCGTGATAGAGTTCTGCAAGGTCTGGTTATCTAAAAGTGTGTAGTACCTCCCCCACACCTTGCTCATTGTGCTCTCGCCATGTTAGAAGCCTGGCTCCCTTTTAAGCCTTCTGCCATGATTGTAAGTTTCCTGAGGCCTCACCTCTTGAGAATCCTAGCAGAGGCCAGCATCATGCTTCCTGTACAGCCTGCAGAACTGTGAGCCAAGGAAACCTCTTTTCTTGATAAATCACCCAATCTCAGGTGTTTCTTTATAGCGATGCAAGAATTGACTAATGGAATTACTGAGATCATTATTTGTTCAAGTTAAAACTCTAGAATCTTTTAAGTTCATTATCCCCATAGTCAATTATGTCTTGTTTGGAATTTGATTGAATATATGAATGAATTTATAATTGTCCTGAGTGTCAATTTTTTGCATTTAATCTTCCCTATTCAAACCCATTTTATATTTATTTACTCAATTCACATGAAGCAAATTCTAACTCTGACTTAATTTCTAACTTTGGACTCAACTACAAAGTTAAAAATTTGCTTCATGGACATATATTGTCAGATACTTTGAAAAAATTAAAAAATGTATACGTGAGACAAATTAGAAGATTTTTCCAAGGTAGTGAAAAGCTAGAACAGTATTTCTCATTTGCTGATCGATGTCATTGAAACGTTTTAAGCAAGATAGTAATTCTGATTTGCCTTATGGATAGTCATCTTCCAGGCAATGGCAAGAAGAAGAAAGCAAGTTTTTCCTGAATCCCAGGTTCACAACCCATTTGTGCAGAGCTGAGCTCTCTTCTTCGTGCTTAACGAAATGATTTAGGAGACATATCTCTATTCCACATTTACACAATTCTACACTTTGAAAATAATTTATTTTACTCTCATCTACATACTCATATCTCTTTGAAAGCCAAACCTGTATCTTAATCATATCTGTGCAGCCTGTTCACCCAACACAGTGCTGGGAGGTTGTGGGCACTCATGAAAACAAAGGAGTGATTGAGTGTGTCAGTGCCTGAGTGAGCCGATTTCTGTAGGTAGAAAGTTAGAGGTGACATGGAGTAACACTAAGGTGTCCGCACACGCTAGTAGGAAAAATGAGCTAGAAAAATCATTTTGACCCAAACCTGGTTTGAGCTGTTTAATGTTTCACAAACACTTTAAGGAATAAGATTTTGATATTTTTCCAAAGTCAAACTAATGAGAAGGAAAAACATTTGGTTATTTATTGGGACTTTGAGCAAAACTTGTTTAAAAGTACATTTCATATTCAGTGAGCTTTAAGTGGGAAATCATGGCCACTATCTTGCAAAAGAAACTGTTAACAATTATTAGAAAGGTAAATACAAATGATCTTTTTTATAGTTTCAGTTGTATCCCCCAAAAATATATGTTGAAGCTCTAACCCCTGGTACATATGAATGTGACTTTACTTGGAAATAGCGTCCGTGCAGATGTAATTGAGATGTAAGTTAAGATAAAGTCATACTGGAGTAGTGTGAGTCCTTAACCCTGTAAGACTGGTGTCCTATCAGAAGAAATGATATGTGTACAGAGGAAAGGTGTTGCAGACAGACACACAAGGAAAACTCTGTGTGATCATGGAGACAAACATAGGAACACCAAGGACTGCTGACATCAGAAGCTAAGAGAAAGGCATGGAGCAGGTTCTCTCTTAGAGCGTTCAGTGGAATCATGATCCTACCAATACCTTGATTTTGCACTGCGACCCTCCAGAACCAAGAGAGAATGAATTTTTGTTGTGGTAAGCCGCTGACTCCACAGTATTCTGTTATGGCAGTCCTAAAAAATTATTATAATTTCCAATTAAAATAATATCTTTTCATTCATTGGCCAAATTTACTTAGCAAATTTTTAATTGTCTTTTAAGCAGATCCAAATGGTTGAGTGGAGGAAGAATACATGTTTTACATATTTCCACAGAGTTTAATTTCACAATGAAAATGTCTTTTGTAATTTAAAACAAGCCAAAAAATATTAAAATCTGGCCCAGTGCAGTGGCTCACAATTATAGTCCCAGCTACTCAAGAGGCTGAGGGTAGAGGGTTGCTCAAACCCAGGAGCTGGAGACCAACCAGGGCAACACAATGAGAACTCATCTCTATTTAGGCCAAGGTGGGTGGATCATGAGGTCAAGAGATCGAGACCATCCTGGTCAACATGGTGAAACCCCGTCTCTACTAAAAAGATAAAAAATTAGCTGGGCATGGTGGCACGTGCCTGTAATCCCAGCTACTCAGGAGGCTGAGGCAGGAGAATTGCCTGAACCCAGGAGGCGGAGGTTGCGGTG